TAACCAAATAAAAATTTCTAATCCAAGGATAATATAATTAATATTTACATCTAATAATCCAAACAAACATGATATAATCATATATACATCCTTTGCATTTTCTTGAGCAAAAATATCAATTCTAAGTAGCATGCATTTAATTTACATCACAAGAAATTAACATGCATCTCAACTAAATTATACATCTCTATGTTCTGATTAAATTAATTTAAATCTAAACACCTGACTAAAATAATTTAATCCAACAATATTTAATTAATTTATCCTTTTAAAATTAATTAAATTCCATACTAAGCATGTAAACTTAAATCATGCATTCCAATTCTTAATGATTCTAATTGAATTAAATAAATATTTAATTCTGATCCATCAATCAAAAATAATAAATATTAATTTAATATTCTACCATTAATCAAAATAACATTTAAAAATATTTAATGCATAACTAATCATTATTATTATTTTTTTCCATGTACAAGATTCATTCCTAACACATATAGAATATCAGTTTGTAGTTGTTGCTTGTTTTCCTCCTCGTGTAACGTGTGCCTTATGAAGACAAAGCAATAAAATAAGTAAAATTTCAATTACAAACTACAACAAACAATCTGGTGCACTTAGTTGCATGTGTGGCGGCATAGTATTTTTTTTCTTTTCTCATTCGGCGTGCCCAGTCTATTAAAGAAACAAAATTTTTAATTCCATAATTATGGTAACAACTGAGTCTTGCCAACACAAATTCACCCCGTTCGGCACGCCCTTTTGTTTTAAAACAACAATTCAATATATATATCCCAACTGATTCACACTACAATTAATTCATGTGAAAAAACAAATAGATAAATTAAATTAAAACCAAGATCAGTGCTAAATTCGGTGAAATAAAAGAATTAAATCCAATTATTAAAACATGAATTTTAAATTATAAATTAATTCATAAAATTTGATCCAATTAATTTATTTACAGAACCTATAATTAATCTAGCATGCATAGGATATGAATCAAAGGAGAAGAGAAGAATTAAAACTTGCCTTTAGGGATTTGATAAAAAACCCTAGCCTCATTCTTCCTTTTCCTCTTACTTCGTCTTCCTTCTTTCTCTCTCTAAAATAAATTACGTGATTTATTTTCTAACCCCTTTTTCAACCCTAGAGTTATATATTTATAAACAATTAAAATAACCCTAATCATTTTCCCTATCCAATCCCAACTAATAATAAATAAAATAAATAAAATCTAAATACTAAAAAGGTAACTAAAATAAATGGTACGTATAATCTATGTGTAATCCTTTTTATATATAATATATAAATATATATGACTTTCCTTATATATATATATATTTATTTATTTATTAAATATACATATACATGGGTAATTATCCGTACCCATTAAACCCCTTATCCAAGTAGTCCATGGAGCCCAATTAGTTGGTCCATTACTACTATCCATATCCAATTCCTTAAAAATATGAAAATAAAAATAAAATAAAACAATTAAATTCCTAAATAAATACACATCATCACACACAATTTCATTTAAACAATTAAATCAATTAACACATTTTACAAATAATTAAATTAATTAAACAAATAAACAATTAGCCAAGAAATCAACTAAATAATTAAATGCAATTAAAATAATTTTTTAAAAAATACCGAGACTATCCTTTTAAAATCAGGGTATTACATTCTTCCCCCCTAACAAAAGGAATTCCGTCCTCGGAATTCGCCCTTACCTTCTTCCATTATATCTGGAAACTGTGAGCGAATGACATCCTCTTGTTCCCAAGTAGACTCAGCCTCATTATGGTGACTCCACTGGACACGCACTAACGATATGACTTTATTGCGAAGAACATGATCCTTACGGTCTATAATGCGACACGGTGGCTCCACATAAGTTGCATCCGGTTGCAACTCAATCTCACCCACATCTATGTGCTGATACCTATCTTCATCGCGCAGAAATTTTCGCAACATGGAAACATGAAACACGTTGTGGACGCGATCTAAATGATCCGGAAGCGCCAACCGATAAGCTACAGCTCCCACGCGATCGGTAATCATGAATGGACCCACAAACCGTGGTGATAACTTCCCTTTCTTCCCAAAGTGCATTACACCTTTCATAGGAGACACTTTGAGTAGAATCTGATCCCCAACCTGAAACTCCAAAACACGAGTACAACGATCCGCATAACTCTTCTGCCTACTCTGAGCAGTGCGCATGCGATCCCTAATAAGAGCAATTTTCTCAGAAGTATCCTTAATGAACTCATGACCCAAAAATCGGCTCTCGCCAACCTCCATCCAACAAACAGGAGATCTACATGGTCATCCATATAATGCCTCAAACGGTGCCATACCAATAGTCTTTTGAAAACTATTGTTATATGCGAACTCCATAAGTGGCAAATACTCCTCCCAATGGCCCTTAAAGTCAAGGACACAAGAACGAAGCATATCCTCCATTATCTGATTAACCCTCTCGGTCTGTCCATCAGTCTGAGGATGATAAGCAGTGCTAAGATGCAACTCTGTACCCAAAGCCTGCTGAAAACTCTTCCAAAACCCTGATACAAAGCTCGAATCCCTATCCGATATAATAGATAACGGAATGCCATGCAACTTCACAATCTCTGTAATGTAAAGTTTCGCCAACTGTTCCGAAGTGTAATCAGTGCGAATAGGCAAGAAATGAGCAGATTTAGTCAACCTATCAACGATGACCCAAATGGAATTGTGATTCTTAAACGAGTTAGGTAATCCCTCTACAAAATCCATAGAAATGCTCTCCTATTTCCACTCCGGTATCGGCAGTGGCTGTAGAGCTCCTGGCGGCCTCTGATGATCAATCTTGACCATCTAACAAGTACTACATCGTGAGACAAATAGAGCAATGTCCCTTTTCATACCTACCCACCAAAACTACTGCTTCATATCCTGATACATTTTGTCACCTCCAGGATGAACCGAAAACTCAGAGTGGTGAGTCTCAGTCATCACATCCTTCCTCAACTCATCAGCAGAAGGTACCACTAACCGTCCCTTGTACCTCAAACCTCCATCAGCCCCAACATAGTAGAATGGAACCTCTCCGGAAGCTATCTCTGCAACTTTATCAATGCACTGCTGATTCGTGAGTTGTGCCTTCAAAACTTTGTGAATGATAGAAGGTGTAACTACCATGCAAGCCAAGAAAGCATCCGACAATTCATCTATCCTCTTCAACGCATTCCACTCAGTAGTGAATAGAGTGGAAAGACTACCAACAGGTCGACGACTGAGTGCATCTGTTACCACATTCGCTTTCCCTGGATGATACTGGATAGAGAAATGATAGTCTTTCACAAACTCCAACCATCGGCGCTGTCTCATATTCAGCTCTCGCTGAGTGAACAAGTACTGCAGACTCTTGTGATCACTAAATAATCTGAAGGATTCACCAAACAGATGATGCCTCCAAATACGTAAGGCAAAGACCACCACTGCCAACTCCAAATCATGTGTTGGATAATTAAGCTCATGAGGCTTAAGCTTTCGAGATCCATACGAAATTGGTCGCTCCTCCTACATCAAGACACATCCCAGACCCTGCAAAGAAGCATCTGTGTAGACAAGATACTCAATCCCGCTCTGTGGGGTAGACAAAACCGGTGTAGAAGTCAACTTAGTCTTCAGTTCATCAAAAGCTTTTTGACAATGTTCATCCCACACGAACCGTACACCCTTCTTAGTCAGATAAGTGAGTGGTCCCGCTATCTTTGAGAACCCCTGGATGAACTTTCTATAATAACCTACCAAACTGAGAAAACTCTGAATCTCGGTAGGTGATGTAGGTTGTCCCCACTCAACCACCGCTGAAACCTTGGCTGGATCCACCGCTATTCCCCTTTCTGACACCACGTGACCCAGAAATTTCAATTCCCGCTGCCAAAATTCACATTTCTCAAACTTGGCATACAACTGATGCTCACGAAGCGTCTGTAAGACTATCCGAAGATGTCTAGCATGATCGTCCTCTGACCTCGAGTAAATCAAAATGTCATCTATGAAGACAATGACAAATTGATCCAAGTAAGCTCTGAAGACTCTATTCATTAAATCCATGAAAACCGCTGGTGCATTAGTCAACCCGAACGACATCACCCGAAACTCATAAGATCCATATCTAGTGAGAAACGCTGTCCTCGGGACATCCTGCTCCCGAACCCGAAGTTGATGATATCCAGACCGCAGATCAATCTTAAAGAAATAAGTAGCTTCCTTCAACTGATCAAACAAGTCATCAATCTTGGGCAAAGGATACTTGTTACGAATAGTAACCTTGTTCAACTCCCTGTAATCTATACACAAGCAGAGCGAACCATCCTTCTTCTTCACAAATAAAACCGGTGCTCCCCAGGGTGAAGTATTCCTGCGAATGAAACCCTGGCTGAGTAGCTGCTGAATCTGATCCCTCAGCTCGCGCATCTCCACTGGTGCCATCCTATATGGTGCCCTAGCAATAGGCGTAGTGCCTGGAGCTAAGTCTATCACAAAGTCGATCTCGCGACTAGGCGGCAACCCTGGAATCTCCTGAAATACATCTGGGTAATCCTGTACAATTGGTATGTTATCCAATAATACAGTAGTCCCCTCATCCGTTTCCTCCTCCATATGAAACAAATAGGTGCTAGTGATCCCCTTAGAACGCGGCATAGCGACGACGTACATGTCCTGACCAGGTATGGTGAAAATAACTGACCTATCATAACAATTAACTTGGGCATGGTAATGCGATAACCAATCCATCCCAAGTATCACGTCATAAGTGTGTATGTCCAGGACCAATAGATTGGCTAGAAATCTGAGTCTACCAATGTAATACCCCCTAATTTCGGAACACGGGTTGATCAAGTCCGCGCACAAAATCAGGGGATATCAAACCAATTAAAGTATTTAAACAAGCACGGATTACAAAATGAAATAAAGAATAAAATAAAACGCTGAAGAAATCCTATTAATAGTAAATCCATTAATAACTTCCAAATGGTTACAACTCGGGAATCCCGTAACTCAAGGACCCCTTAACCAAAAGTTACTATTTAGAATTTCAACCAATTAAGTACTAATATCAACTGAAACAAAACTAATATCCTACTTTTAAGTAAATAGAAGGAATGGATAAGTCCTCCAGCTGCGGATCCTCAACCTTGAGACTTGACCTTCTACAACCTGAAAAATAAATCGCGGGTTAAACCCTACGAGCAAGTTCTCTCTACCAAGCCTCTGAAAACCAATAAACAGATCATCTTTACCAAAACCATCCCTAAATAAGCTTTAACTTTAATATACGATGCTACAAATATATATAAATACTTATATATCTAGTGCACGAATCCTACCAGTTAATAGGGCATTAAATTGTCAAAACCACTCACCAATAATTAATTATTAGTCATACCTAGACCAAGCCCCCCCTTTTATAATTTTCTCATAAAGTAAACCCCACTCACCTTAACTCCATCCTAAACAGTAATTTAGTCATCTACACATATAGCAATTTAAATATGCACCGGCAAATCAACCATACCATTTATAAATATATTTATTTATATACTAGCAATTCAACCATGCTTCCTTCAATATATTTACTTTTACAATTAATTAGCAATTCAACCATGCTTCCCATATATGAAATTTATTCATAACCAATAAGGCAGTATATCAAAGCCTTTGGCAACTCATCCATGCCTACAATTCAACCATGTATTAATTTTAAACTTAACTCTAGGTATACTTATACATAGACTTCACATCCATATAATAAGCATGTCCTTAATTTAATAACCGTGTATCTATTACGATTTTAAATCAACCATACCATACAAGAATCAAGTCATACCAAACAAGATTTATAATATTTAATAATCTTAAATAATATATATATACACATATATTTTGTAATATATATATATATGTGTGTATCATACATTCCATACCAATCGTTGACTATTTAAAATCATATCTACATATATATACACATATATACACCTCCTTTCATTGCAAAAATATTTAATTAATTATATTTATACCACTAAATGCTACTAGGTATCTTAGTAACACTCTGAGGCTCTCAAAATATCAAGAATACACCCTCTAATGATTAATTTTAACCCTAACAAGCTTAAGATAAATACTGGAACTTCACCGGAGTCTCAAGCAACTTTCCAGGACCTCACACGCATCCCCACGCGCCTTCACGCGCCGCCACCTAGCCCTAGACTACTCCCACGCGCCTCCACGCGCTTCCCCTTACCGGCAGGCGCGTCCACGCGCCTGCACGCGCCTGAGCCACTCTCGGCGCGTGTTGGCAGCTCCTAATTGGTTGTTGTTTGGTGCTCTTGGTAAGCTGCGATGCACTGGATCCTCTCCCTTAATCAACTACATCTAACCATTGATGTCGCATGTGTATCAACTTACAATGGACCGCATCACACCAGATCAATCCAACTAAATAAAATTAATCCTATGGCCTAGATCAACGAGTGCACCCTTTTCCTACGTACGCGACCACACTGGATAAAAATCCTATTGATGCGCAAATACTAGCCGCCTCCAGTGTGTTTGTTAAACAATTTAACATATATATATATATATATATATATATATATATAAGAATTTCTAAATTAACATTAAAAATATAAATTAATTTCAGAAATTGTTCAGAAAATCTCAGAAAAATCCCAAAAGCTCTATTTATTATTTTGGGCATAAATGAACATATACAATTAAATTAAAATCCATTTAATTTAATTAATCGTGCTACACAAGGTTAACGCAAAATATAAAAATTTTAGAAAAAATAAAATTTAATTAACCTAACCTCACCTACAAGATCTAAATTATCAGAACAATGCATACATATATTCACATGTTTAATTCTATAATTTTGTAAAGAATAAATATTCTCCTCCAATCTGAATAATAATTTAATTTAATAAAATAAAATTATAATTTCGATAATCAAGGTGATAAGTTTATGAGTTCTAAGAGGAGAAGTAGAGAGGAACTCGCCTTTTCTTTTCCAAATCCGGTCTCCTCTTACGTTCTTTGATCCGGCCTCCTCTTCGTTAGCCCTTCTTCTTCTCTCTCTAATTCTCTTATTTTTCTAACGTGGAAAAACTCCTAACCCTAGAGTCTTATGTGTCTATTTATATACATACAAAAACTAAATCCTTTTCCCATTAGGATTATCATATAAAATAAATAATATTTATCTTTTAACTAAATCCTTTTCCCATTAGGATTATCATATAAAATAAATAATATTTATCTTTTAAATAATATATATACATACATATATTTTACTATAAACATATATATATTACCTTCCATATATAACCATTAGTTAAATAAATTATATATACCTATATATATCAATATATAATTATATTGACATATATACCCCTCCACATGATTTAATAATGAATTAATATACACATGTAATTATATAGGTATAATTATGCAAAGATAATTATTAAATATCCTCACAACCACGGGCCTTTACCAATTAACCCAACAAGGCTTCCTTCAAGCCCAATACCACATCCGTTGGTCCAACTTCCTTTAATCCCAATACAAATAACTTAAATACCTAAAATAATGAAATTAAATTTAATAGCTACCAATAATTAACAATAAAGGTACACCAACATAAAATCACGCAAATCAAATAAACACTTCACTAACTAGCATTCTACAAATCAAACACCGTATAAATTTAACAAATAAAATTACAAAATATATAATTTAATTAAAACAATACAATTTACCTACGCACTTAATTAAATAAAACAAATCACTTAAAAATAATAATAATAATATAATATAAATTAATTTAATTAAGAAATCCTTTTTACAATATCGGGGTATTACATTCTTCCCCCCTAATAAAAGGAATTTCGTCCTCGGAATTCACGAATCCATGAAATGAAATTTTGATTATTTGTCCCAAACTTTCATTTTCCCTTATTCCACTGTTTGCCATGTAAGATATTTAATATGTAAATATCTATAATAAAATGCTCACAATTGTGTAAATTACTTAAACACTTAGTGGTGTAATATACTAACAGTCAATGATTTGTATATATATGTCTAAATATATATCACCATCATAAGCCAAAACCATCCAGATACTAATGAACATGATGCACTTATATCTACTAAGTCATTTCTACATCTACCTTGAAATAAAAAAAAACATACCTCAATTCTTCTGAGGTACCCATGCATTGCAAGGTGTGGCATTGTACACCATACCCTGATGCAACTGCTATATAGGCTGTCCCTGTGGTGGCGGTGGTGCTGGTAAGGCCGAAAATGTCTGAGCCTGCACACGTGGAATCTGTGGAGTAGGTAATGGTTGCCACTGTCCCTGTTGCCCATGCTGTTTCTGAGCCAACCCAGGACACCGTTTGGCTGAATGCCCATAATCTCCACACTTATAGTAATGACCCCTAAATATACTTGACTGCCCCTCCTGGTGATTACCCTGTAGCTGTCCCAGTCCAGTCTAAGGTGCTCCAGTCTGCTGAGTGGAAACTCCCTCTCTCTGAACTTCTGAATTACCCTTGTGCTTCTTCCAAGGCTGCTGGCCCTGGAATCTGCCCTTGTCATTCTGTCGGTTCCCATTATCATTCACTTTCGCAGCTGGCTGATTAGCAAAATCTTTGCCACCCCGCTTCTCAGCCCTAGTCTGTCTGAAATCCTCATTCAGTTGATAAAGCTGCAAAGCTGCGTCCACCACTTGAGCATAAGTAGTGTAGGCTGGACTACCAGTAATAGCTCTCTTGATAGACCACATCAGTCCCTTGACAAAACTGTTGCGCTTCTTCTCCTCTGTATCCACCTCCTCCGGTGCAAAGAGAGATAAGCGTGTGAACTGCTGTTCATACTCCACCACTGTCATGTTCCCTTGCTGCAGATTAAGAAATTCAGTCTTCATGGCTGCCCTAACTGCATAAGGGAAATACTTTTCTTCAAAGCGTGCACTGAACTCATCATAAGTCAATGCCATCCTCTCCTCTATGGTGGTAACTGACTCCCACCACTGTAGTGCATCCCCAACTAGCTTGAAGGTAGCAAGCATCTGCTTCTGAACCTCTGTGCACTGAACCAAGCGAAGATGTCGCTCAATGTCCTGTTTCCACTGGTGAACTGCTCTCGCATCCGTGGAGCCCGTGAACTCAGGTGGACTCCCTTTTGTGAAAGAACTCCTGGCCTTCTCCCAAGTATCAGTCTGAACAATCGGTGCTGGTAACGGTGCCGGCTGTACCTGAGGCTGATTCCGAAGTACAGCTGCTACCCCAGCTTCTATAGCCCGAGCAATGAGGTCATTGATGTGAGGAGGATACTCTAGATCCCTGCCCTGAGCCGGAGCCTGAACTTCCTCTTGCTCCTCCTGAAGCTGACCCTCATCCTGAAACTCAAGTCGTTGCTGCTCTTCCTCCATTTGCTGACGTTGCAGGTGTTCTTGCTGCCTACGTACAGCTCTCCTCTGTCGACGGTTCAGATTCTGTCCTCTTCCAGTGTTAACCATGCTGTTAACATAGAACGACAGACATCAGTACGATTTTAACGGACCGTAAAGGAATACAATGTATCCTAAACTTAAGCTCTAAAGAAACGAGTACACAAAGCGGAATTCACATAACGAAAGACACCCTAGGGACACTTGAACCTGGAGTGCTCTGATACCAACTGTAATACCCCCTAATTTCGGAACACGGGTTGATCAAGTCCGCGCACAAAATCAGGGGATATCAAACCAATTAAAGTATTTAAACAAGCACGGATTACAAAATGAAATAAAGAATAAAATAAAACGCTGAAGAAATCCTATTAATAGTAAATCCATTAATAACTTCCAAATGGTTACAACTCGGGAATCTCGTAACTCAAGGACCCCTTAACCAAAAGTTACTATTTAGAATTTCAACCAATTAAGTACTAATATCAACTGAAACAAAACTAATATCCTACTTTTAAGTAAATAGAAGGAATGGATAAGTCCTCCAGCTGCGGATCCTCAACCTTGAGACTTGACCTTCTACAACCTGAAAAATAAATCGCGGGTTAAACCCTACGAGCAAGTTCTCTCTACCAAGCCTCTGAAAACCAATAAACAGATCATCTTTACCAAAACCATCCCTAAATAAGCTTTAACTTTAATATACGATGCTATAAATATATATAAATACTTATATATCTAGTGCACGAATCCTACCAGTTAATAGGGCATTAAATTGTCAAAACCACTCACCAATAATTAATTATTAGTCATACCTAGACCAAGCCCCCCCTTTTATAATTTTCTCATAAAGTAAACCCCACTCACCTTAACTCCATCCGAAACAGTAATTTAGTCATCTACACATATAGCAATTTAAATATGCACCGGCAAATCAACCATACCATTTATAAATATATTTATTTATATACTAGCAATTCAACCATGCTTCCTTCAATATATTTACTTTTACAATTAATTAGCAATTCAACCATGCTTCCCATATATGAAATTTATTCATAACCAATAAGGCAGTATATCAAAGCCTTTGGCAACTCATCCATGCCTACAATTCAACCATGTATTAATTTTAAACTTAACTCTAGGTATACTTATACATAGACTTCACATCCATATAATAAGCATGTCCTTAATTTAATAACCGTGTATCTATTACGATTTTAAATCAACCATACCATACAAGAATCAAGTCATACCAAACAAGATTTATAATATTTAATAATCTTAAATAATATATATATACACATATATTTTGTAATATATATATATGTGTGTATCATACATTCCATACCAATCGTTGACTATTTAAAATCATATCTACATATATATACACATATATACACCTCCTTTCATTGCAAAAATATTTAATTAATTATATTTATACCACTAAATGCTACTAGGTATCTTAGTAACACTCTGAGGCCCTCAAAATATCAAGAACACACCCTCTAATGATTAATTTTAACCCTAACAAGCTTAAGATAAATACTGGAACTTCACCGGAGTCTCAAGCAACTTTCCAGGACCTCACACGCATCCCCATGCGCCTTCACGCGCCGCCACCTAGCCCTAGACTACTCCCACGCGCCTCCACGCGCTTCCCCTTACCGGCAGGCGCGTCCACGCGCCTGCACGTGCCCTCACGCGCCTGAGCCACTCTCGGCGCGTGTTGGCAGCTCCTAATTGGTTGTTGTTTGGTGCTCTTGGTAAGCCGCGATGCACTGGATCCTCTCCCTTAATCAACTACATCTAACCATTGATGTCGCATGTGTATCAACTTACAATGGACCGCATCACACCAGATCAATCCAACTAAATAAAATTAATCCTATGGCCTAGATCAACGAGTGCACCCTTTTCCTACGTACGCGACCACACTGGATAAAAATCCTATTGATGCGCAAATACTAGCCGCCTCCAGTGTGTTTGTTAAACAATTTAACATATATATATATATATAAGAATTTCTAAATTAACATTAAAAATATAAATTAATTTCAGAAATTGTTCAGAAAATCTCAGAAAAATCCTAAAAGCTCTATTTATTATTTTGGGCATAAATGAACATATACAATTAAATTAAAATCCATTTAATTTAATTAATCATGCTACACAAGGTTAACGCAAAATATAAAAATTTTAGAAAAAATAAAATTTAATTAACCTAACCTCACCTACAAGATCTAAATTATCAGAACAATGCATACATATATTCACATGTTTAATTCTATAATTTTGTAAAGAATAAATATGCTCCTCCAATCTGAATAATAATTTAATTTAATAAAATAAAATTATAATTTCGATAATCAAGGTGATAAGTTTATGAGTTCTAAGAGGAGAAGTAGAGAGGAACTCGCCTTTTCTTTTCCAAATCCGGTCTCCTCTTACGTTCTTTGATCCGGCCTCCTCTTCGTTAGCCCTTCTTCTTCTCTCTCTAATTCTCTTATTTTTCTAACGTGGAAAAACTCCTAACCCTAGAGTCTTATGTGTCTATTTATATACATACAAAAACTAAATCCTTTTCCCATTAGGATTATCATATAAAATAAATAATATTTATCTTTTAACTAAATCCTTTTCCCATTAGGATTATCATATAAAATAAATAATATTTATCTTTTAAATAATATATATACATACATATATTTTACTATAAACATATATATATTACCTTCCATATATAACCATTAGTTAAATAAATTATATATACCTATATATATCAATATATAATTATATTGACATATATACCCCTCCACATGATTTAATAATGAATTAATATACACATGTAATTATATAGGTATAATTATGCAAAGATAATTATTAAATATCCTCACAACCACGGGCCTTTACCAATTAACCCAACAAGGCTTCCTTCAAGCCCAATACCACATCCGTTGGTCCAACTTCCTTTAATCCCAATACAAATAACTTAAATACCTAAAATAATGAAATTAAATTTAATAGCTACCAATAATTAACAATAAAGGTACACCAACATAAAATCACGCAAATCAAATAAACACTTCACTAACTAGCATTCCACAAATCAAACACCGTATAAATTTAACAAATAAAATTACAAAATATATAATTTAATTAAAACAATACAATTTACCTACGCACTTAATTAAATAAAACAAATCACTTAAAAATAATAATAATAATATAATATAAATTAATTTAATTAAGAAATCCTTTTTACAATATCGGGGTATTACAACCAATATCTGGTGTCACAGGCCCATCACTTTCATGAAGAATGGTTGTATTGCCTAACGGTGTAGAAATTCCATGTGGTGTACTGCACACCCTAGTCATCATCCTAGACAAAGTAACAAATGACCTAGCTACAAATGAGTGTGTAGCACCCGTATCAAATAAAACACGTCCAAGTAAATCATGAATAGGAAACTTACCCTCAACAGCTTGAGGTGCCTGCATATTATGTGGCATGGGGTTGTACACCCTGCCATAATATAACTGCTGCGATGCCTGTCCCTGAGGATGCGGCGGCGCTGGTAAAGCCGGATATGTCTGTCCCTGAATCCGTGGAACCTGTGGAGCTGGTAAAGGCACTGGTGCCCTCTGCCCCTGCTGCACATGTTGTCCCTGTCTCTGTCTCTGTCTCTGTCTTACTGTAGGACACTGCCTGGAAGTGTGACCATACTCTCCATAAGTATAGCAACTACCTTGGAAAGTACCAAATGGCTTCCTCTGTCGGTTAGCCTGTGGCTGACCCTATCCTGCCTGTGGTCCCCCATTCTACTGCCTCTGAATAGGTGCCCCATTCTGCTGAGCATCTGAACCACCCTTGTGCTTCTTCCAAGGCTGATGTCCCTGGAATTTGCCCCTGTCATTCTGTCAGTGTCCATTCCTATTCCCTTTCTCAGCTGACTGATTAGCAGAGTCTCGATCACCCCGCTTCTCACCCTTGGCCTGTCTGAAATCCACGGTCAACTGATACTGCTGTAGAGCGGCGTCTACCACTTGAGCATAAGTAGTATAGGCTGGACTACCCGTAATAGCTCTCTTGATAGACCACATCAGTCCCTTGACGAAACTGTTGCGCTTCTTCTCCTCTGTATCCACCTCCTCCGGTGCAAAGAGAGACAAGCGTGTGAACTGCTGCTCATACTCCGCTACTGTCATGTTCCCCTGCTGCAGATTAAGAAACTCAGTCTTCATGGCTGCCCTGATTGCAAAAGGGAAATATTTTTCATCAAAGCGTGCACTGAACTGATCGTAAGTCAATGCCATCCTCTCCGCTGCGGTGGTAACTGACTCCCACCATTGTAATGCATCCCCAACTAGCTTGAAGGTAGCAAGCATCTGCTTCTGAACCTCTGTGCACTGAACCAAGCAAAGATGTCGCTCGATGTCTTGTTTCCGCTAATGAGCTGCTCTCGCATCGGTGGAGCCTGTGAACTCAGGTGGGCTCCCCTTTGTGAAAGAACTCCTAGCCTTCTCCCAAGTATCAATCCGAACAACCGGTGCAGGTAACGGTGCCGACTGTACTTGAGGCTGATTCCGAAGTGCAGCGGTTACCCCTGCTTTTATAGCCCGAGTAATAAGGTCAATGATGTGAGGAGGAAACTTTGGATCTCCTCCTTGATCCCGAGTCTGCTGAACTTCCTCATGCTCCTCATAGAACTGACCCTCATCCTCCTGACGCTGCCTACGAGCCGCCTCCCTTCGTTGCCTGTTTCTCTGATTGTCCCGTCTTCTTCTAGCGTTAACCATTCTGTTAACATAGAAAGACAGACATTAGTACGATTTAACCGAACCGTAAAGAATACAAGGAATCCTAATCTTAGGCTCTAAATAAAAGAATACGCTACGCGGAAGTCTTAAAACGATAGATCCCGAGAGACACTTGAACCTGGAGTGCTCTGATACCAACTGTGATACCCAGAGCCACGGATGATCAAGTCCCAGCACAGAATACAAGGGATATCAAACAATTAATATTTAAATAAGCATTGGAATACAAGATGAATTAAGAATAAATAAATAAGCTGAAAAGTAAACTAAATAAATAATCATCAAATAAAAATAATTAAAATCCAATAATAAAATCCTCCAATCCTCTGATACCAGTGATTAATTAAATTACAATTCGGGAATCCATATTGTGGACCCCTAATAATATCCTAACTGAAATAAAACTAATAATTAAATCATGAAGAAGAGTCATACGTAGAGTCGGAAGAGTGAATGACTGTCTCTGCTTGGCACGAACAATCTCTAAGATCGGAACTGACGAACACCTGAAAAATAATGGTGGGTCAGGCCCACATACAAGTTCTAATCTACTACATCCCAAACAGAGACCCGATACACGTACGCATCCTAATTAATTCAACAATATCTAAATAGTCCATATATAGATATATACACACTAAAGGAACCTCACTAGATTATAGAGTTGTCTCAACCTGAATAGTAGGCAACATGCAAAACGTACATATAGTGGGCATGAGTACCTAGGCCTACCAGGGTACACAACTATACTATATCTAGCTACACATCCCGGGCAATATACGCACCCTAACCACTGATCCTGAGACTTAAGCTCATATCATGGCGTATAATTATATATTTAAAATCCGTCCTATCCAACCATCAAAATAAACTATCCAATTATTATTTAATAAAAATATGTCATCCAACTATTCCGTTGACCTGACACGAATAAGTAGGACTTAACACTATGGTTAATGCGTTCCCTTATTAAAAATAGGTAGGACTTAACTCTTAAGTTAATCCGTCCCTAATATGCCCCCATCCCATAATGGTGCATTAATCCATATCATAACCAAATAAAAATTTCCAATCCAAGGATAATATAATTAATATTTACATCTAATAATCCAAATAAACATGATATAATCATATATACATCCTTTGCATTTTCTTGAGCAAAAATATCAATTCTAAGTAGCATGCATTTTAATTTACATTACAAGAAATTAACATGCATCTCAACTAAATTATACATCTCTATGTTCTGATTAAATTAATTTAAATCTAAACACCTGACTAAAATAATTTAATCCAACAATATTTAATTAATTTATCCTTTTAAAATTAATTAAATTCCATACTAAGCATGTAAACTTAAATCATGCATTCCAATTCTTAATGATTCTAATTGAATTAAATAAATATTTAATTCCGATCCATCAATCAAAAATAATAAATATTAATTTAATATTCTACCATTAATCAAAATAACATTTAAAAATATTTAATGCATAACTAATCATTATTATTATTTTTTTCCATGTACAAGATTCATTCCTAACACATATAGAATATCAGTTTGTAATTGTTGCTTGTTTTCCTCCTCGTGTAACGTGTGCCTTATGAAGACAAAGCAATAAAATAAGTAAAATTTCAATTACAAACTACAACAAACAATCTGGTGCACTTAGTTGCATGTGTGGCGGCATAGTATTTTTTTTCTTTTCTCGTTCGGCTTGCCCAGTCTATTAAAGAAACAAAATATTTAATTCCATAATTATGGTAACAACTGATTCCTGCCAACACAAATTCACCCCGTTCGGCACGCCCTTTTGTTTTAAAACAACAATTCAATATATATATCCCAACTGATTCACACTACAATTAATTCATGTGAGAAAACAAATAGATAAATTAAATTAAAACCAAGATTAGTGCTAAATTCGGTGAAATAAAAGAATTAAATCCAATTATTAAAACATGAATTTTAAATTTTAAATTAATTCATAAAATTTGATCCAATTAGTTTATTTACAGAACCTATAATTAATCTAGCATGCATAGGATATGAATCAAAGGAGAAGAGAAGAATTAAAACTTGCCTTTAGGGATTTGATAAAAAGCCCTAACCTCCTTCTTCCTTTTCCTCATACTTCGTCTTCCTTCTTTCTCTCTCTAAAATAAATTACGTGATTTATTTTCTAACCCCTTTTTCAACCTTAGAGTTATATATTTATAGACAACTAAAATAACCCTAATCATTTTCCCTATCCAATCCCAACTAATAATAAATAAAATAAATAAAATCTAAATACTAAAAAGGTAACTAAAATATATGGTACGTATAATCGATGTGTAATCCTTTTTATATGTAATATATAAATATATATACTTTCCTTATATATATATATATATATATATATTTATTAAATATACATATACATGGGTAATTTTCCGTACCCATTAAACCCCTTATCCAAGTAGTCCATGGAGCCCAATTAGTTGGTCCATTACTACTATCCATATCCAATTCCTTAAAAATATGAAAATAAAAATAAAATAAAACAATTAAATTCCTAAATAAATACACATCATCACACACAATTTCATTTAAACAATTAAATCAATTAACACATTTAACAAATAATTAAATCAAATAAACAAGTAAACAATTAGCCAAGAAATCAACTAAATAATTAAATGCAATTAAAATAATTTTTAAAAAAATACCGAGACTATTCTTTTAAAATCAGGGTATTACATAGCATGACTAAACGAGAAGATCGGTTAGGATGGTTTGGTCATGTGCACGAAGAAGAGTGCATGACATAATCCATATTGAGGCTAATTCTCGCAGAATGGGAAGACAAAAGTTAACATGGGTAGAATTAGACAAAAAAAATACGATAATTAGGGCTGCAACTTGGGTGGGCTAACCCAGCCCAACCCAAAATTTTTTAAATTTGAACATATAATTTACAAATCGGGTGATGTTCGGGTTGGGTTTTGTCAAAACCCAGACATATTTGGGTTGGTCTCGGGCTCAACCCGAAACCCAAATAAAAAAAAAAAAAATTTCTCATTTCTCTCTCTCTCTCTGCCGCCGTACTTGCCACCGCCACCGCCGTCCCTCAGATCCACCGCCTCTTTCTCTATCTTCTTTCTCCTCTCTCCTCTCTCTTCATCCTCTTTCTCTCTCGGTCTCTCTTCTTTCTCTTTCTACATTTTCAAAGACCTTCTGGTCATCATCAATCTTTCTCTTTCTCTTTCGGGTTAGGTTTTGATTTTTTGAACAATCTGAAATGATCTGAAATATATGGGTTTTGAACTTTTGATTCTTGCAGACAGATCTGAAAAATATATGGGTTTTGAACTTCTGATTCTTGTAGATTTTGTAGTTTGTAGTTACAGAGAGAGAGAGAGAGAGAGTTGAGAATGAGACCTGGAGGTGGAGGCGATTGGGGAGGCCGAAATATGAAAAAGGGAATAACCATTTTCTGCTACCTCTTGGGTAATCTACAATCTTCTTCTGTACAAAATGTCTTCCAAATAGAGCTTTTTTGTTTTAATTTCTCAGAAAATCTAATCCCCCCAAAACAGAGATTCTACTCTTCACCTTTCGTACTCAACACTACCATTTATATATATACATATTTTTATAAACTTCAAAATGTTGCTTCCAAAATTATCAACCCGTCACAACTATAACAAACACTACCATTTATATATATATATATATATATATATATATATATATATATATATATATTGGGGGTTGATGGCAAGTTGAAAGATATGGGTTTTGATTTTTTGAACAATATGAAATGATATGCCGATATGGGTTTTCATATAGGTAATAGGTTTTGAACTTTTGATTATTGCAACAGATAGATAAACTGAAATATATAGGTTTTGAAATTCTGATTCTTGTAGATTTAGTACTTTGCAGTTGCAGAGAGAGAAAGAGAGAGAGAAGGCAAGTTCAGAGTTGAGAAGGAGAAGAGAGATGGAGGCGGCGATTGGTGAGGCTAAAACGATTTGCCCTAAAAAAAAAAAAATATATATATATATATATATATATATCTAATAATAAAATAATCAAAAATATATAATATACATATATATATATTATATATAAATTTCCAAAAAAAAAAATTATATAAAAAAAAAAACTTAACCCGTCAACCCGGCCCAACTCGCTCGAAAAAATTTAGTTCGGGTTATGACCACAACCCATGTTGGTTACAATTTAGGTTAACCCAACTCAACCCGATTCGGGTTGAGGGTGGGTTGAGGCTGGGCTGGGTTGGGTTAGCCCAACTTGCAGCCCTAACAATAATATGTGGTTTGGCTTAAGGTAGTATATATAGAGTGGAATAAAAAAATATTATTAATCTAGATGACCCCAAGTAGTTGGCACAAAGACTATGTTTTTTGTTGTGGTATAACTTTAGAGCAGAATATTCATGGCTGTACATCCAACAAGTGATAAAAGTTCCTAGAATTAGGACATGGAGAAACTATATAATACATTTTTAAGCCAAACAAAATTTTAAATATAAAGATACGAAGATTATAAACATTTAATATATAACCTTTGTTCATTCAAGCAACTATTTAAGATGAAGCGTTTCAAAAAACGATAAAAAAATAAAAAATACCTGGAGCAGCGTACCCAAAGGTGCCTGCAAATGAAGTCCAATTGGAAGAGTTGAGATTTAGAAGCCTAGCGGTGCCAAAGTCAGAGATGTGAGCCACATATTCAGAATCTAACAAAACATTCTTGCTTGATATGTCCCGATGAACTATAGGAGGTGAACAATCATGATGCATATAACACAAAGCATCTGCCACATCTTTAACCACATTCACTCTCTTAATCCATCCACACTCCTCCAAGGCTTGTTCTTCAGTCCTGCTCAGGATCTTCTGCAAACTTCCCGCTTCAAAAAACTCGTAAACCAAAAATGAGTGTCGTGGGTGTGAACAAAAACCATAAAGCTTCACAATATTTCGATGACGTATTTCTGTTAATGTTCGGATTTCACTTGTAAAACCATTCTGATCATTAGCATGTACGCCATCTTCTGGGGCATGAAGTTTCTTCACAGCAAAAACTTGACCACTCGGCAACTGAGCTTTATAAACACTTGCTGATCCTCCTACCCCAATGCAATAATCAGAGCTAAAGTCCTCTGTCGCTTCAATGACGTTCTCATACACCATTTTCCCATCATAGCTCCATATTGCAAACAAATTCCCATTGGTTACTCTTTTGGGCTCATTTACTACGCTGTGCACTTTTGGGTAAAGATTGAAAATCCCAACAACCACAAATGAAAGAAGCAAAATGCTCAAGACAGGAACTATAATCAAAATCATAAGTTTGTTTCCATTCTCTCCCTTATGAGCTTCATTGCTCATTGTGGTGGCGCAAGCCTTCAAACCAGTGGCATTTCCGCACAAACCTTTATTATTTGTGAATGCACTAAACGGAGCCTCTTGAAAGGCTTTATTTTTCGGAACAGGACCCTGCAACTGATTGTATGATACATCAACAGAAGTCAAACTTAACATGCCTTCAAAAGTGAATGGAATGGATCCAGAGAGCTTATTGTGAGAGAGATTCAATGCCTCTAACTTCTCCAATTGTCCAATAGGGTGTGGTATTTCCCATTTTAGTAAATTATGGCTGACATCAAGATTTTCAAGAGAGTGTAAATTGCCTATGCTAGAAGGAATACCTTCAGTAAGAACATTTCTGCTCAAATTCAAGGATAATAGATTCACACACTCCCCTAATCGTTCAGGAATTGAGCCACTTAGATTGTTTGCTGCCAAGTTAAGATGTGCCAAGTCTGATAGCTCAACAATTTCCAAAGGAATGTTGCCTGAAAGCCGGTTGTTGCTTAAATTAAGGTTTATCAATGAGGTTAACCTTCCTAAACTCTTTGGAATTTCCCCAATGAGACGGTTTGAAGAGATGACAAGTACACGTAGCTGAGTTGCATTTCCTAATTCAGGTGGTATCTCACCAGAAATATTGTTGTTGGCCACTCTTAAGCTTGTTAGATTGTGGCACTGGCCCCATTTACCAGAAAACTCACCGTACATTTTATTATCACTCAAATCGATATAATCCAATTTTGGATATATGTCGAAATTTTCTGATATATTTCCAGAAAGTTGGTTTCTTTCAAGCCTAACTCTATATAAACTAGTGCAATTTTTCAAGCTCTCAGGGATTGGACCTGTGAGATTGTTGCTATTTGCACTGAAATTTTGAAGTGTTCCACTAATGCATATGTTATGCGGTAAATGACCAGTAAGCTCGTTCTCAGATAATTCCAACTCTTTCAAATGGGTAAGATTATTGAACTCTGTAGGTATAGAGCCAGTGAATCTATTTGCATACAAGTATAGATACTCGAGGAGTTTCAGCCTTCCTAATTCTCGTGGGATAGAACCAGACAATAGATTAGTGTACAAATTCAAATCGAAGAGCTTGGTCAGATTCCCAATAGTGGATGGAATGGATCCATAGAGTTGATTTCGGTCTAGGTACAATTCGGTTAAGTTGCATAAATTTCCCAACCAACTTGGTATTGGACCTGAGAAGTTGTTCGAGGACAACTGGAGACTGACAAGAGAGCTCAGCCTTCCAATTTCTTGAGGGATGGGTCCACAGAGTTTATTTTGAGAAAGGATTAAACTGGTTAAGTGGAGCAAATTTCCTATAGTTGCAGGAATTGAACCTGCTATATTGTTTCCTGCCAATTGCAAATCTATAAGAGATTTTAGCGTCCCAATTTCTGGAGAGATGGATCCAGAAAGTTTGTTACTATAAAGGTATAGACGGGTCAAGTTGGTCAAGTTCCACATTGTAGCTGGGATTGGACCTGTGAGACTATTCATTGCGAGTGATATCCCATTGAGAGACCTCAGTTTCCCTATCTCAGATGGAATTGGTCCAGAGAGATAATTAGAAGACAAGTCAAGATCGGTGAGCTTGGAAAGGCTAGTGATATGCTTGGGGATAGCCCCGTAGAGTGAATTGTTATAAAGATCAATGCTATGGAGATGAGGGAAGCATGAGAAGTTGAGATAGTGAAGTGTACCTCTTAAACCAACACTGGAAAGGCGTATGTGGGTGACACTTCCATTACCCTTTTTGCAATAAATCCCAACCCAATTGCAAGGGCTGCTGCTGGTGTTTGGAGCCCAAGAGGAGAGAATTAGAGATTGGGTTTGATTGTGAAGACTGGCTTTCCACTTTAAAAGAGCCTCCCTTTCCTTTTCTCTTGGGGTCGCAGAAGAAGAAGAATCACAAGCACTGAAATGGGTAAAAGAAAGCAACACAAGGATGATGATGGAAGTGAACAAAAGTTGGAAATTAGAAAGAAGTTGGTGGTGGAATGGCTTATCTATTTGAAATTTCATTGCGGGTTTGTTACAAGAGGGCAATGGCTGGGTGGAGTATGGAGATGTGTCAAATTATAGATTGATTTGAGGTAGATTCATAGGAACAACTACCTTGGGCTGACCCATTGTCTACGCCGATGAAGAAGAGGCGACGACCTTGGGTTGACTGACTCTTAATAATGATGTCATGTGGAATAAGTTACCAACTGGAAAGCACATTTTCTAAGCCTTCAATTACTCTTTAATATGTACCTCAGCTAAGCTAGAAGCAATGGTATAAACGGAAGATTGTTGCATATATGGGCTAAGTTCATCTAATTTATTACCCCATTTGAAATTCTACAGAAAAGTTATATAATACAATGTATTATGCGTGAAATGGAGAAAATTATTGTAGGTTCCTAAACGTGTGTTGCGGTGGTGAGAAACTTTGTATGTAGTACATGCTATTGAGGATCTAAAACAAGACACCAAAAAGAAAATAAAAAAAAAGTTCTCTCTCTACTATTTCCTCTCCAATTGTTTACTGCTTGCACTCAATGTTATGTTTTCCGTTCTCTACTTGAGATAGTAATTTTATTGCTACACTTACAACAAAGATTCAATTAGTTAGAACATAAATGGTTCTTTTTTTTTTATTTTTATTTTATTTTAAGTCTAGGACTATTGGACTTATTGGTTTTTTAATGAGAAAGGTAGGACATGATAATAAATTTTTTTATTTGTTCTATCCAGTCACATAATAATATATTATTTTTGTTGCTAAGTAATTCTAAATGAAATGCCAAATTCATTTCTATTCAAAATAAAATACTAAATTCACGAAATACCTTTTCTTGTTGGGCTTGGTTTGACGTTATTCTTGTAAAAGTGATTATAACAATGTGTTACGGGTTCAGACCTTAACAATCCTCTTGCACGTTCAAAAGCACTAAAATAACGTAATTAGTTGTTTTATTTTATTTTACTTAAGTTAGAATGTTAGATGAAGCAATAAATAATTATAATGCTCAGACTTTTGCACAATCTGTCTCATCCCATGTTCAAAAGCACTAAAATCTTATTGATAAAATCAATTATTTAATCATGTTATTGACTCATGCATCTTTCATCCATGGCCTTCATCTTTTTAATGGTGGGCCAGTGCTACAATGACCAAGGAAAGCGTGCAAGGAACGCACAATGACGACCAACTCAAGTACTGATAGTGGTTTTTGGAAGAGTCACGTTCAATTGAGTTTTTATAAGTAATAAACGATATTATAATAAGAACGTCATATGTGATTTTCATTCCACTTAAAATAGTCAAATACATTCTACTTTTTAACTATTATTATTATTATTTTTTTCCATTAGGATAAGAAAACAAATTTCAACTTCACAAATTATAGTCGCACATACTTATAGCCCAAAGCTAGAGTTAGTAAACGAACCGAGTTTGAACACATTTTTTAGGCTCGTTTAGTAAATGAGCCGAGCTTGAGCAACGCTAAGCTCGGCTCGTGAACAGGCTCGTTTAACAAAATGATTAATTTTTATTTTATTTTATTTTATATTAATATACAATTGTGTGGCCTATTTAATATAAAGCCAATCTAAATACATATTCATCAGTCTAATTTCATTTAACTTTAAGCCCAACTTTACTTCAACTTAAGCCCAAGTCTACTTAACCTGTTACATTTACCCTATCATCACTATATATATCTTTATATCAGGCATTATTTTCTGACCAAATTCATTACAGCAACCGCTCCTCCAATCTTCACAACGTCGCTTCTTCCTCTCTGCACAACGTCGCTTCTTCCTGTCTAGCACGCTGCTGACTGTCTCCAACAAATCTTTGCAATATTTGCTATGAAACCCTAAACAAATCTTGCAACATCACTCCTCTAATCCCATCCCTTTCAACATTGATTTCCTCTCTCTTACAGTGAGGGTTTCCAATAGATCTCTCTCTCACATTTCTCTTTGGATCTCGATTACTCAATTCCAATATAGTGGTGGGGAGATCAGAAAAATTATCGGAGAATGCGAAAGTGATGCTCTTCGATCCATTGTCAAAACAGTATTAGATCTCAAGCCTTTTTTATTTTTTCATTTTGGATTGAAGGCAAGCCCGAGCTTGCCAAAATATTGGCGAGCTAAGCTTGAGCCTGCCAAAATATTGGCGAGCCAAGCTCGAGCCTAGTTTGGCCAAGCTCGCCCAAGCCGAGCCTGAGCCTGAGCACCCTCCTGAAATTGGTGAGTCGAGCCCGAGCAAGGTAAAGCTCGGCTCGGCTCATTTGCAGCCCTACCCAAAGTCCAAGAAATATCATTTGATTTTAAAGACAAGAAGCTTTCGCTGTACAGTAAAGAAGATATAGAGTTGCAAGAAATTTCAATTGATTTTTGGGGTAGGGCAGCCCAATCTACAAAAGCCAAGCAGAGGGAAAAGCCTAAAATCTATGGGCCCATGGCCAAGAACGCTACAATGAAAAAGTCGTTACTCAATATTCGGAAAACCAAAGAAACTCTACATTTGAAAATTAGAGATTTTGAAATACAGTTGAGGGAAGTTCCAATCTGCAGCAATCCAGCGAGCTCTTCTGCAGATTGATATCTCACCATGTTGAAGATGGAATCAAACGCCATTGAAAGAGGGGATCTACTATTCCTTCAAATTCCGTTTCGATAAAAACTTAGAAGATGCAGAAATGCTCAGGAGGCTAAACATCCAATATCAAGCAGTTGTCCTATTACAATGACGTGGAATGGATTTTGCAGAGTTGGCCTTCGTTTCGATAGCTCTGTGGAGATTTTTCCCATTGTTGGCCGAGATTGGGGACCGATATGCAAGCATGTAAAAACCAGCTTGGTAATAAAGACTATTTCGTCTGCTACCTCTTCTATTGGAGGTGAAAGACATTGATCCAACACATCCTTCAAGAGTATATCTCGGACAAGCAATGTTGGTGGCGATGATGATGATAATGATAGAGAGGAGATGAGCTCGCCTGGATGCTTTCCCATAATCATTTCCAATGTTAGCACTCCAAAGCTAAAAACATCACATTTCTCATTCACTTCCGTTGTATAAGTAAGTTCTGCAACGCAATGAATAAAGGACAAGAAAAGTAAAGAGAAATCTGGCAATATAATTTTTTTTTCTAACAATCATTGTTCAACATAACTATAAAACACAAAAAGGTGAGGATTAAGAGGTATAAAAAATTGGACATTTTCGCTATTTAGGCTAAATTATCTTTTTATGAATGAGAAATTGGAGATGATGTTAATCATATATCAAGGTAGGATGGGTTAAATGAAGATGAGCATCTAGTATATTGTGTAATTAGTGTATTCCATTAAGATTGAAAGAAGTGTTTTTATAGAACAACAATTCGACCAAAATCATTTAAAATAATGTAATAATCAAAATTACCTACAGCAGCATACCCAAAGGTCCCCGCGAATGAAGTTTAATTGGAAGAGTAAGGATTTAGAAGCCTAGCACTGCCAAAGTCAGAAATGTGAGCCACATATTCAGAATCTAACAAAACATTCTTGCTTGATATGTCCCGATGAACTATAGGAGGCGAACAATCATGATGCATGTAACACAAATCATCTGCCACATCTTTTACCTCATTTACTCTCTTAATCCATCCACACTACAAGGCTTGTTGGCCACTACTCAAGATCTTTTGTAAACTTCCCCCTTCTAAGAACTCGTAAATCAAAAACGAGTGTTATGGGTGCGAACAAAAACCATAAAGCCTCACAATATTCCGATGACGTATATCTGTTAATGTTTGGATTTCACTTATAAATTCATTTTGATCAGTAGCTCGTCCACCATCATCTTCTAGGGCATGAAGTTTCTTCGCAGCAACAACTTGACCACTCGGCAATTGAGCTTTATAAACACTTGCTGATCCTCCTACCCCAATGTAATGATCAGAGTTGAAGTCCTCTGTTGCTTTAATGATGTTTTCATACACCAGTTTTCCATCATAGCTCCATATTGCAAATAAATTCTCATTGTTTTCTCTTCTTGGCTCATTTTCTACACTGTCCACTTTGGGGTAAAGAAGATAAAAAAATCCCAACAACCATAAATGAAATAAGTAAAATGCCTAAAAGAGGGACTATAATTAAAATCACAAGCTTGTTGCTCTTCTCCTCCTTATTAGCATCATTGTTTGTTGTGGGGGCGCAAGCCTTCAAACCAGTGGCATTGCCGCACAAAGCTTTGTTATTATTGAATGCATTAAACAGAGCCTATACATACCACCTTTGGGAATTCAACTTTTTGAGAATGAAACCGTACGTGACCTTTGCTTAGTTGGGTCCTTGAAAGATTTTCTGACATTCACTTGCACTTTTTTCTAGTGGAGAAAGAGGCACACTCACTTGCGAGAAAAATGTTTTTATTGTGGGGTATGTTTGGATGGAGAGATTTGGAGGGATAGTGAGAGAAAAAAAAAAAACAGAAAGGATAATGTAAATTGTATTTGGGTTGGTTAAAATGAGAGAAAAGAAATGATAGGGAGAGATAGGGACGGATAGCTCCCTCCCTATCCCTCATTTTCTGTCTCTCCAAAAATGAGAAGATAGAGAGAGAAATGATAGTGTTTAAGTAGTATTTTCATAATTCCGAAACCGCCCTCAACAATTACAAAGAGGAAAATATTATTCCACTCATATCCCATATATTTTAAAGGACATGATAGTAATTTGATTGTTATCATTTCTCTTATTTTCTTCCTTCTATTATATCTAAATAATAATACTATCCTTTCTTTTCTTTTCTATTTAATCAAATATAAATAGAGAGTATTGTTATCCTTTCTTTTATTTTCTTTTCTCTTATAACTAATACTATCACTTCTTTTCTCCCTTATGTATCCAAACAAAGCTATAGTTGCACTAGTGGGAGGAAATGGAAAGAACTGTTCTACGAGTTTGTTCACATTTTCAATAATAAGTGGGTACATTTTTGTTCTTTCTACTTGCATAATAAAATATTAATTAAGAGCGATAATATTCTCTCTAAAGAAGGGAGCACCAAATGGGAGGCCAAATAAAGCAGATAATGCAGGAAAGAAACATCCACTAGTTAAGAAGATAATGTAGGGAGTTTGGGAAATTAAGGACTTGCA